ATTTTTGGTCAGATGGCGAAGAATTCACTTGGTAGGGACTGGAAGGAAACCCACTCCATAGCGCCCCTTCTGGTGAGTATGATAGAGGTGCTAGCAAACTGAGTATTTAGAGTAGGTATCACATGGCAATGAAGTTAAAGACACAGCAAGGGCACACAGGGAAGGGTAATTCTATGAATCCTGTATTCTTGGGAACCTAGTTCTTTTGTCCAGAAACAAGCATCTAGCAGTGGTTTTGCTGTGTGGATTACCCTGTTCCCCTCCAAGCTCCGAGTCGCCCCCCGCCCCTGTTTTTCTTTTCTCCTCCCTGGCCCTCTTTTCTTCTTTCCCTACTTTGCCACCTGACGTCACTTTCCTCTTTTCTCTTCCTTCCTTTCCCTTTCAATGTCATGTTAGCAAATTTCACACCTCTTCACACCCCATTTATTTTCTTTCGATTAACAACATATAACTCAATAGTTCTTTAGTATCAATATGAAATAATTGTATCTTTGGAGAAGCTTTTCAAAAGTTAAGGACTTTTACCCACAGAAGTAAAGTACTTAAGCACAAATGTAAGTGTGACAGCTTCCTTCATAATATGTGCCTACTATGGAATTCGAAGGAAAATATTGCCAGCTTCCCAGAAATTCGCTGCCCCAGACCCCTCATTCCCTTACAGAGTGGCCAACATGCCAACATTATCTTCTTGTTTTTGTTTGTATGATCTGTGCCATCATACATGAACCTTAGAAATAGTCTAATTTTGTATCTCTTTTTAAACTTTACTATACATGAACACATAAGTGTGTGTGTGTGTGTGTGTGTGTGTGTGTGTGTGTGTGTACACGTGCACAAGTTTCATCACTGGGAATTGAACCCAGGGCGTTATGCATGCTAAACACTCTAGCTACCATTGAATATATTCTCGGTCCTGTTTTGTTGCATAGCTTAGTTCTTTTTCTCAATGGTATGCTTCTTAAGATCCATGGCTCTTGTTTGTTACTTTTCGTTGTCATAGTATTACTTTCCCAGGGTTGCCATGTTCTAAATCTTGAGGTATTTCAGATTCTTGGTACAGAGCTTACTATGTTCTTCCTTGGAAGATTCTGGGTTCTTATCTTTGCTTATGGAGTTCCAACATTTCATGTTAACATACTTTGCTCTGGCTTGTTCAGATTTCCTTGATCAATGGAATTTCTTCTTTTAAAAATGTATCTGTGTTTTGAGATCATGTGTATATGTGAGGGCATGCATATGACAGTACATGTATCTGCAGAGTTCTGAAGGTGCATAGGATCTCCTGGAGCTAGAGCCACAGGTGGTTGTGAGGATTCTGCAGATGCTAGGGAACAAACCTGGTCCCCTGCCAGAAAGCATGTGCTCTTAACCACTGAACCATCTCTTCAGTTCCATTGGCCCTTTCGGGAATTCATTGGTTTAAAGTTTCCCCCAACTTTATTCCTGTATATCATTTAATATTTACCAGAGCAGACTGCTAAGCCTATGAACAAATCCATACTGTTTTTCTGCTCTAATTTTTGAGAGAAATTTATGTTTTTATCTTATAGACGTCCTATAATTTTATATATATACAGCTTTTTATTGTTGTATCTTAAAGTTTCGAAAAACAAAAGAAAACAAAAACTCCTTTCTAACCACCCCAGCAAGGTGGTGTACTCACACCTCACGGTCTTTATTTAAAGGAGGGAGAGGTCCCCCCGCCCCCAGTCTCTTTCCTCACTGCTAGATTGGAACTCTGAACTTTGTGCATGTGTTTTGTTCCTGAACTGTTATCCTTAGGCCCAGAATGATTTGAGCAGACTTGAACCTTGCTGTCAATTGTGCCAGCTGGGAGTTGGGATTTAGAGCAGAAGAGCAAACTGTTAGGTTAGCACTCACCTCTTCAAGCAGGACAGAGGTCATAACCCATAAAGAACAGAGTGCAAATAAACTGGAAACACAAACAAATCAGCAAGTGTCAACAAGAACAAAGCAGGTCCCTGTTACCAGACAAGTCCAGAGTTTAAAAATTGCAACTCTAAGCAATGCAAAAACATGCTTTTACATAGATATAAGGTTGCATCCTAAAATAAAGAGGTACAGTGCCAACCATTAATGAAAAGGCTTTAAATACATTTTCATTATTGACAACAATGAACTAAGCCACATTTCCCACATTTCAGTCACTTGTATTCTGCCTTCCCTACACACTTCACCTTTTGTTACTATTTCTTCATGTCCCTATACATTTTATTTAACTAAAATGGAACTTTATATTGCTACTACAAGTAGAAATTTAATTTCATTAATAAATAGAAATTAAAAGCTAATAATAGGAAGTTCTTGGATATCAATATTCTCTTTGTAAAAAGGACCATAGTGGGTACTATCTCATAAAATTGACTTCAGTGTTTAATGAATTAATTAATACATTTTAAATGACATGCACATCTGCAATCCCAGACCTGGAATCATCGAGGCAACAAGACTTCAAATTCAGGGCCAACCTGGGCCCTGAAATACATGGTATTTCAACAAAATAAAAACCATAAAAAGAAAAACCTCTGGAATTTTGTATGTGTCATAGGCAGTTGTTAAAAAGATATTAAATATCCCACTCATAGAAAGCTCATCGTAAGGGATTTGAAAAAGTTAAACTGTGCAGTAGGAACAGGAGATAGGTTTGAAACAGAAATGAAACAAACAAACAAATAAACCAGTATTAAAAAGAACTTAAAATAGCAAACAGTAATACAAATAGACACCCTTGGGTCCTGGAGACAGCTCAACAGGTAAATGTCCTTGCCGCTAGGCCGGAAGACCTGAGTTCATTCCCTGTGTCCACAGAGTGGAAGGAGAAAACCAACTCCCACAAATTGTCCTATATGTATGTGCTGTGGCACCAAAACCTAAACTAAACTCACAATGAAAATATAAATAAAAATTTAAATTCATGAAATAGAATACTATTAAGTTAAGAAGATCAAGGCTACATTCTCAACACAGGATTCTGTTTCAGAAGCAGGCTTTAAAGTTGTTTTATTTTATTTTATTTTTGAAACAAGGGTCTTATTATGGAGCTCTGGCTGTCCTGGAAGTGACTATGTAGACCATACTAGCATTTAACACACAGAAATCCATGTTTGTGCCTCCCTAGTGTGGAGACTAATGGGTGTACCATCATGCCAGGCCTGAGATGAAGTTGTAAAATCATTGTTTCTGAAACAACATAGACGGATACACATATGAAGAAAATGAGGGCCTCTGTGAAGGGGGAAAAGAAAATGCTGCTGAAGTTTAGAAATGTATCTTGTCTTTCATTAAGGGTATGGAACAAACACAATGTTGTCATTTTCTAGGAAATGACAGCAATCGGTAAATGTTTGTGTTATTTTGTGGTAGGAGAGTAGGGCATGGAGGAAGAGACTCAAGATGACACATAAAATAAATGAATGGCTGAAGAAGACTGGAGTTAGGTCTCAGAAACCCCAGCAAATGACTGAGTTACCTATTAACATATCACAGGGGGTTAGGGTTAGACTAGCTTTCCCAGCATCCCTCAGTACCTCTGCCTCCTCCCAGCCCTTCTCATCCTGCCCCTACCCTAAACATCTCCTTCTGAGGATCTGGGCTTCCATTAGAAGTAGTCACGTCCTTCTCCTTTTATTCCATTTTTTCATTCAAGTGGAACCCTAGGGTTACACACACACACACACACACACACACACACACACACACACACCACTGTCTTCACAATTAACCTGTGGCTGCTCTTTAATGATGAAAGTGTAAACATTTGGGTTAGGATTATAAAGTATATGACTATACTTTATCTTAATGTCTTGGTTTTTCTAACCTAACTTTTGAAGTAAAATTGGTTTCACCTTTTCACCAAATATTCTAGGAATTTCTCAACCATTAGTTGTGAGAGGCAAGAAGAGATAGATACTGATGTCTGAAAACTTGATATTGGTTTAAGCATTTTGATTTTAGCTCAATATTAGTCTCATTCTTACTTTATTTCATTTGTCTTATTTATAGACTAGGTGTCTTGTATCCCAGGATGGCTCAAACTCACTGTGTGACCAAGGATGGCCCTGAACTACTGTACTTCCTATCTCTATTTCTGAAGTGTTGGGCTTGCAGGTTAAGGCTACCATGCAGATCATGGCAGGCTCACTATGAAGCCAGGCTGTCCTTGAATTCACCACCTCCCTACAGTGGCTTCTAGAATGCTTGGATTAAAATTGGAGCCACCATACCCCCAACAACTTTCTCTTTAAACCGTCCTCTGATTCTGCAGTAGAAAGCTAAATGAAGAGATTAAAATGGTTAAAATGATGGCTCAGATGCAGTTTTATGTCACTCGTCATCATCAAATCCATATGCTTCTCCTAGCCTGAAAGCCTATACATTAACCAGTAACCACGAAGAAAACCCGGAGGCCAAAAATCCCAAAGGCTGTGGACACATTAAAAACGTTATCAGAGCACATGTTAAAAGACAGAGGAAAGTTGACAAGACTCCAAAATGACAATTAAAAGCAACCTAACGTGGTGGGACAATGAATAACTAGGTCCTTGTCTAAAGTTCGCGGCACTTCCTAAAATTTCTAGGAAGGCAGGATTTGGATCCACACCATGGATGGTTGCACGATAAATAATAACTTGATAACGCGTTAATTTCTAAGCTATTTCGCGGACCTAGAACCATAGGCGTCACCCGCTGGTAATCCCGCCTCTGAGCAGCGACATTTAAAAACATCGCGGAAAGACAGTCCCGCCCACCTCATCTCTCTTCCCATAATTCCTTCCTCACTAATTTCCCAGAAACCTGAGGACCTCAAACGCGGCGCTACACGCCCAGGGAAGTCAACCCATCCCCTCAGTTATTATTGGCCAGCTATTTTTAATCCCGCCCTAGAAGCGCAGGCTAAGGCATTTGATTGGGCATGAGAGTGGTCGGGCTCTGACGTCGATAGGGGGGCGTGGCTCAGGCTTTGCGTTCCACCCACGTCCCGCAGCACCATGTACCGCGCACTCCGGCTCCTCGCCCGCTCGCGTCGCCTCCTGAGGGCACCGTCGGCCGGCGCTGCAGTCTCAGGGGAAGCAGGCGCCCTCCCGCAGCGTGTCCCGAACGTCGCTCGAATGGTGAGCGAGCATCTCGGGCTGGGCCTCCCCGGGGTGACCTTCATGCGTGTCAGCGTGTCCCCGGTGTCCCCGCGGGCCGGGCCGGGCCTGGGCTCAGCGCCCGCACACATGCTCATCTTATCCTCCGCCCCGGGCGCCGCCTCCAGCCGGGTGTGCTGGGACTGCGGCCCCGCGGAGGGACGCGCTCCTGTGGGGCAGGATGGGCGGCAGGGCTGAGCTGCCCCAAGCGTGAGCTCGCAGAGGCCCTTGGTCTTGGACAAGTCTGGGGCCGTGCGTGCTTGGGGGAGGATGCCGGGTGGGTGGCGGGGCAAGAGGGGTGAGTTAGGATGCAAGGATACATGGATGCAGGAAGTGCGGGGAGGGAGGAGGGCACAGGGAAAGGGGCAGCCCTCTCCTTACCCAGGTGGCAGGCCCTGCTGGCCAGACACAGAGTGTCGCCTAGGCTGGGAACCCCTCGACTCTGGGTTCTTGGTCCACCAACGTGCACTCTCGTTCTTCCAGATCCTCCAAGTGAATGAAGCCGGTGTGTCTTTTGAACGGAAAGGCTTTTCTTCTTACGAATTTGACTCTTTAGCTTGTGAGAGTGCACGTGCCTTCTCTTCAAAACTTGTAAAACTCTGAAATCGATAGATACGGACGTAAGAAGGCTCAATCATGGCTGATGAGATTGCATAGGACCAAACTGTGTCCGAATCAATATTTTGTCAGAAAGACTGCTAAGGAACTTACAGGGCCAAATTTAAAGTATGACGTGCTTCGTTAAGTCACTTTTGTGTTTAGAGTGCTTTAGGATGCCTTATACGTGAATGTGTGTGGTTGGAAAAAGGCTGAGAAGTGAACCACTCTGGGGTTTAGTGTGCACTTTGCAGTGTGAGGTGATTTCAAATCCTGCTGCGGCTTTCAGGCAGGTTGTCTTTGTGCCTCAGTTTCTACATGCAAAATTGAGATAATTACAGAGGCTCAGCAAGACTGAACTTGGGAAAACACACATGCAGTAACATAAATCATGAAAGAAACTACAAAGTCCAGGCTGCCAAGAGTTCCTGGAACTTTTCTCTGGAGATTTTAATGCATTTAAAGATATTTTAGAGAAGAATAAATGTGAAAACGTAGCACTTCCTTGCTCTTAGGGTTGTAATGTCAGAAAATGGAATTAAGATAGTTTTCTTTTTCCATAGTTCCAAGGACATTTTCCCACATAACTCTCTTGTCATTTCCAACAATAATGCTAAGACAGCTTCTTCCCCTCTCAGTTACCCTAGTCTAGATGATCCTCACAGGCAAGCCCTCACAGGCTTGTCTTACTGGTGACTCTAGATCCTGTCAGGTTGACTGTATTAATCATCACACCTGAGGATAAAGGTAGAAAGTAGCTTTTGAAAGAGTTTGTTGTATGCTGAGATACTGCTGTGTTTGCTTTTGTTATACATTGGGTATGTTTTTAATGATCAAGATGGGATGCTTTGAAGTGTGTGCTGAGATTGTGATTTTAGCTACAGTTCACTTTTCAGCACTTTAAAATGTGGGTATCAGAATCCTAGGATGTGCCTCCATTGCTTCGTCTCTACGTTTGTGATGCTGTCCCATGGACCTACGGTTACCTGCATGTTAGCAGATGCTTGGCTATTCAATTATCCCTCTAAGCAATTAAACTTGATTTGAATTAATTTTCCTTTTTTTTTAAGATTTAAAGCTGAAGACATGACTAAAAGGAATCTTGCCCAGTATTTTTTATTCCAAATATTACACTAACCAAACCCATTTAGAAGATACATTGTTGATATGTAATAATGAAATTTTAGTAATTTTGAACACAGAAGGTGATCATAGAAATTTTAAACCTGAAGCTTAATTTCATAAAGCTTGCAGATGAAAGCTGGTCTCCCTTGAGATTCAACATTTTAGTACTATCTAAGAAGGTGAGGAAGACATGAAGGGCTGGTGTGGTTTGCTGCTGTTGTCATTTGCTGTTTGTTTTGAAGTGTATTTTAACATAAGGGTGCTTTTTAGGTTATCTGAAACAGAGGTTGTGGTATTTACTGTTTACTTGTACATCTCACCCTCTTGTCATTTCCAACAAGTCTGCTGATTTTGTTAAAAGTTGTTCCCTAGTGTTGAGAAATCCACATAACCCTGGATGCCCTGGGTTACCTGTTACTTAAAAGAACATCCCAGAGTTCACCTGAAGTGCGTCATTGCCTTCTTTCTGATTGGGGATTTGTAAATAAGATAGTGCATAATTGCTTAGAATTTAGAGACTGTTGGCAAAGATTAAATAAGCAGGGGGCAGAGGTGGCTGAGGGTCGAGTCCCTGCTGTGTGACTTCAGGAGGGAAGGTTTGATTCATGTTTTAGGGGTGCAGTATTGCATGATGGGATTGGAGCAGGTGCTTGAGGTACCTGTTCACACTGGGTGTGCACTCAGGAAGCAGTGAGAGGAATGCTGGTACTCAGCTTGTTTTATCTATTTGAAATTATTTTATATTTTATTTTTTAAATTAAAATGCAATTGTGTAATGTTCCCCTTCCCTTGCCTCGCTGCCAACTCCTCTTACATACCCGCCCTCTTGTCCCATCTCAGACTCATGGCCTCTTTTTCTATAGTGGTTAGTTAGTATGTGTGTCTTAGTTATTTTGCTGTTATGCTAAAACACCGTGACCAAGACAACTTACAGAAGAAAGGGTTTAATTTGGAAGCAGAGATAGCAAACTCAAATGGCGCTAGTCTTTAAGCTCCCTAGTGACACACTTCCTCCAGCAAGAGCACACCTTTTGAGCTTCCCCAAACAGGGCCATCATCTGGGGACCAAACATTCAAATGCCCAAGAATGAGGGGGGAAATTATATTATTATATTTTAACTAAACCTCCCCCAGTAAAGTTAGAGATCTCTTAATATTTCAAGAATATTCTGCTGAGATTATTCAAGTATTAAATATTTATCACTTACTCTTCAATATTGTATAAGCTTTATATTAAGATATTTCACAATAAATTTGTTGAGTATTTGTTAAATATTTTTTGTTAGTTTAAGTTGATGCACTTGATAGAATCCCAACTTCTCCATAAACAGGAGCCTTGGTCCCTGTTCTTACTCTACGTGACCTTCAAGATGTGGCTCCTGAGTCATAGAAGACTTGCATGCATGCGTTCATGCCCGTCTTTCTAGAGAGGCTCCCTAGCTTCCCTCAGATTCTGAAATGCTTCCATTGACCTAGAAGATGAAGAAGAGACTTAGCTGGTTTCCTCCCTGCATATTCACCAGGTTGACAGGTGAGAAAGGCTGACTTGTAGGTGGAGATCCAGCTGTTAAGTGGTTGTCTGCCTTCTAGTCTGAGCCATTCATGTTGTCACTACTGTCTAAGGCATAGTGACAGTTTCGCTAAGTTTTAGCTTTACTTAAGTAAATTTAAAAATCTCAAAATGTTTTTATACTTTTCAAAAGTTTCCAGTAAAATAAAATTTAAATGAGATCAGAATTGGTCAAATCTTGACTAGTGATAGGCACACTTTTTTTTTTTTTTGTATTTCAAAGACTTTCTGTGTTAACAGTAGGTTAACTTTAACAGTAGCTTTCTTTAATACCCGAATTTATGAATATTGATGTCAAATTTTTTAAAGAAAACTGAAAATGAGGAATAGAACAACCAGATGGAATTTTATGTTTTTATGATACTTTAAACATTTCTTTTTCTCCTTACAGCTGATCAGATTTTGTTTGCTTTGATCCTGGATTTCTTTCCAAGTTAAAATAATGTCTCATCCCTGTCTTTAGGCAAGCCAAAATTCCTTCCGTATAGAATATGACACCTTTGGTGAACTGAAGGTCCCAACTGATAAGTATTATGGTGCCCAGACCGTGAGATCTACAATGAATTTTAAGATTGGAGGCCCGACGGAACGTATGCCAGTAAGTGGCTTTGTGGAGATGTTGACTTAGAGCTAAGCTGTAGTCAGTCACAGGAATCATATTATTTTATAAATATTTTATAAAATTAAAACAAAGTTATGAGAAAACTATCTAAGTTTCTAAGGAAGTTCTCTTTCATTAAGATCCCAAGAAACTATTAAAGTTTTAGAATGCTATTGCTTTCAGCCAAGGCTTTGAATACTTTGTATTTTTAGCTGTTATAATTAAATATTATTTGCTGATGGTCTGTGTTAGTCATGGTTCTCCAAAGGAACAGAAGTGATTTTGTGTGTGTGTGTGTGTGTGTGTGTGTGTGCATGTGATTTATTAGACTGGCCCACAGGCTATGATCTGAGTAGTCCAACAATAGCTGACTGACTCCTGATGTAAAGGCCAAGGATCTGGTCCCATTCACAGCACTGGATGTCTCAGCAGTGCCAGTCAGCTGCTGGCTCCCAGGGAATTCCGGGAGAGCAGCTGGACTTCAGTCTGTGCTGGAATCCTGAAGAAGTAGGTCTAGTAGCCATGAGGGAACATCTCCGTGTTAGGATAGGTGAACTGCCAGTAAGAGTGGGGCAAACAGACAAAAAGCAAACGCTTCCTCCTTCCACGAGTTTTACATGGTCTCCCACCAGAAGGTGTGGTACAGATTTAGGGTAGGTTTTCTGATCTCAAATGATCCACCAAGAAAATCCTTTACAGTGCCCAGCTCTTTAGGCTTTAGGTGATTCCAAATGTTATCAAGTTGACAACCAAGGCAGACATTTTAAAGTTTTTTCTTTTTATTTATTTATTTATTTATTTATTTATTTATTATTTATTTATTTATTTAATTACTTTTTGTTGTTGTTCTTTGGGGGGGGCGAGGGGGTAGGATTTCACGGTTGGCAAACATTTTTATTTCATTTCTCAAATTCTCTTCTTCTTAATTGTCCTACTTGTCTTTTTCTCCTCCCTCTCTTTTTCCTCCTCTCTATGTAGCCCAGGCTGCCCTCAAACCCATGATTTTCCCTCCTGGCCTTACATGGGCTAAGGTTCCAGGTGCACAACAGCCATGCCCAGCTCTTTGTGGGTGTTCTGAAGTCATGCTAGAATGATGAAGTCAGGTTAGAATGATGAAATGATTGAATACTATTGATTTTAATACATATTGTGTAAAATAAACCCATACCTTACATATCCATCCATGTAGCATAGTTATTATTGGCATTGTCTTTATATGAACACTTCTGTGTGTGTATGTGTGTTTTGGTTATAGATTTGTATAAATGTATATAATCATCTAGATTCTGTTCTGTTGATTCACTTAGATAATTTCCTTTGCTTTCTAAACTTTTGAGGGTCATAGTGTTGGTACTATTTTTGCATAAACTAAATTTTCATGCTTATCTAAAATTGCAAATTTAAGGTATTTTTCTGATTAATTTTAGATCCCAGTTATTAAAGCTTTTGGCATCTTGAAGCGAGCTGCTGCTGAAGTAAACCAGGATTATGGTCTTGATCCAAAGATTGCTAGTGCAATAATGAAGGCAGCAGATGAGGTAGGAGGTGATAAGAGTGTTTACACAATGGCATCAAAGTCCTGAGGTTCACTGTTTGACAATAAGCTCTGCCTGCAGGAAGGGGCATTTTGAAGTCTTGGGTTAATGAATTTCAGGGTACGGTGGCAGCATTATTCAGAGGATTCAATATGGTGTTCAAAACATCTTGTGATGTCATTTCTCAGTAATTTTTATATCTTAAGTCTTTTTATTGTTTAAGGGGCTGGAGAGATGACTCAGCAGTTAAGAGCACCACTGACTGACTGCTCTTCCAGAGGTCCCAGGTCCAATTCCCAGCACCCACATGGCAGTTTCAGGGGATGCGATACCCTCACACAGACATACATGCAGGCACAACACCAATGCACATAAAATACAGAGAAATTAATGACAAAATTAAAAAGATGGTTTGAACTTTAGGGTCTTATGAATAAGCGATTTCTTTTTAAACTAGTTGATTATCTATCAACTAGTTTATCTATCTAGAATGTAATCTCCTTAAGCACTCTCTTGAGGAAGTGGTCGGAGGTGAGTTGAATGAAACATTGTGTTTACAATGTTGCCTTACAGTGTTTATGATGATGGGAAGGCTGGGCTTTCATCACAACAGCTTTGTGTGTAATTTGGCTACCTTAGTTATGTTACCAGTAATAGAAATTAGATATTAAAATTTGGCATAGAACAGAGCCTAAGCTTAGAGGAACATTCTTTTTTTTTTTTATTATTAGAAAGAAAATTATTTTACATGTCAATCCCAGGTCCCTTTCCCTCCCCTCCTCCCCTGCCCTAGAGGAACATTCTTTAAACATCTCAGGATCTTAATTTTAATGAGGAAAATAAAGTGGACAGAAAATGTGTGTTTCCCTGTGTACCCCTGCCCCAGCTTGGGTAGTAGAATCCACAAATGCTCAAGTTCCTTTTGTAAAACATGTGATAAAGCCTGGGCACTCCCTGTCATGTGTTTTGTTTCTCACTTACTCGAAATAGCAAGACTGTAAATATTGTGGAAGAGTTGTTAACTCTGTTCCTGTCAGTGAGGTACACATGCTTAGTACAACCGCAGTGTTTAAAAGGTTTCTAAAGAATGTTTTTACCTTATAGTTGTATAGAATGTTTTATCTTATAGTTGAATCTGTGAAGGTGGAGCCCACAGTTACTGAGGGCCTTCATGAACACACACCATTGCAGGGGAGAGGGAAGTGATGGAGTTACACTTTCCTTTGTTCTCAGAGTTCTCTAGGCAGATGACTGGTGGCGTTCATATACCTGGAAAAGGAGCCAGTTAATCAGGTTAATGGCCCTCTCAAATACATTCTGATCTTCTGTGTCATTTTATAGTGAAGTTAAATATTCATTATTTTAGGAAGCCTACAGTTTAAAAGCTTTCAAGTAAGTTAAGAATTAAAAAATCTCACAGGGCAGTGAGATGGCTTAGTGGGTAAAGGCTCCTGCTACACAAGTTCAAAGACCTGTTTGATTTCCAGAATCCATGTAAAGGTGGAAGGAGAGCCTTAACTCCACAAAGTTGTCCGACTTCCACACAAACACACTGTGGCATACCTGCACACAGAAAAATAAATTATAAGTTTCAAAGAGAAATCTGGCAGAAATTGGGGCAATTATGGGCAGGCCTTTTCATTTGGCAGTTGCTGCTCATTGAACATTTGTACTGTGAGGTAGCTCTTAGTAAACTCACATTACCAAGCCCTGGTTCATTATCACGCTGGCTGTGGCAGTAACATCTGTTGGATGTGCCTGCTGAGTACCAGTAATTAATATATCTGAAGACATCATACTAGCAGCTTCACAGGTGGTCCTCCAGTGCAGCAGGCAGCACAGGGAAACAAGAAAATGGCTTTCATTCAGTTTCTATCCGAAGCCAGTGAGTTGTCATCATTCAGAATATATATAGTTTGGTGTTTCAAAGTGACTGTAATTAGAAAAAGTGATGCCACAGATATTTAGGATTGTGCCATGGCTGCCTTTAACTGTCTTGAAATCATTAGCAAGCCATTAAACATATGAAACAACTGTCATCTTTTAATTAGTTTGAATGCAGAGCTTTACTCTTCCATGGTTATTTTAAACAGCTAAACAAATACCCAGTATTCCTTATTTTAAAAAGACTTAATATTTTCTTTCCTGCAGGTAGCTGAAGGTAAACTAAACGATCACTTTCCTCTGGTGGTGTGGCAGACTGGATCAGGAACCCAGACAAACATGAATGTAAATGAAGTCATTAGCAACAGAGCAATTGAAATGTTAGGAGGTGAACTTGGCAGCAAGAAGCCTGTGCACCCCAACGACCATGTGAATAAGAGCCAGGTGGGTGCATGCTCTCAGCTCCATCCAGATAGATTGACAAGCGTATGGGAGATGTGCTTGTAACTCAGGCATGTGCATTTTGACAAGGAGAGATTGTGTTCTTTACTAGAGAAGACTTTTAAGTTTGTTTTTTCCAGGAATCGTGACTGGTTTCAAACTTCCTACAACAATCACTGTTAGGACATCTTGGTTTAGTATATGTATACATTTTATTGTTCCATTTATTTAGAACTTTTTTTTTTTTTTTTTTTTTTTTGAGACAGACTTTCTTTGTGTAACAGTCCTGGCTGTCCTGGAACTCACTCTGTAGACCAGGCTGGCCTTGAGCTTACTGAGATCCACCTGCCTTTGCTTCCCAAGTGCTGGATTAAAGGTATGAGCCACCACTGCCCAGCTAGAACATTTTTTATTTAAAAATAGATTTGTAAAAATATTTTATTCATTTACCACCTTCCCGTAATGCTAATGTCTCTTATATCTGGCTTCAGTTTCTGGAACTAAGAAGTTGCTCTTGGCACAGTACTCTTATACAGGCTTTTTTCAAGATTTCCCCAATTTTCTACCAAGTTTTCACTTTGTGGTTTTGGGTTTCCCAAGGGAGGACAGGTTGTGGATATATAATCTGTAACAGTAGCAGTTACACTTGGTATGTAGGCAGAGGCTATGAGTTCTTAGGGGGACTCTCCCCAGAAGTGAGAGACCCTTCACACTACAACCTGTCGAGTATTTGGTGGCAGCCTGACTTGCCATGGTGATGTTATGTTTTATCACTGGTTGTAAGGTGATGCTACTAGTTGTCACCACCATTACATCATGTTTGTTTCCATGTCATATTTGTCATTATTTGTCCTCATTCCTGGTGTTACACTGGAGCATCCCTTCAGAGGAGAAGTAGAGGAGATTTGTGGATATGTGTTATATCCCCACAGAAGTTATCAGAGATATTGTAGTTGTGGTACCAATCTGTAGGAGCCCGTGTTTGTTTGTGCCCCACTATGAGGGGCCATCTGTATGAACCCGTCTTTGGGGGACTACAGTCAGATCTAGCCAATTTGCCCGGCTCATACCTGAGAGGGGGAGTGTGGATTGAGAAACAGCAGGTAAAGATACTATGGAAAACATAGAGACACAGAATAGAGTCAGGAGGGCAATCCAGTGAATACTGAACATACCAGATTTTTTCGTCAACATTCTTATATACCCCAACCAAAAAGGGGGAAATGACAAAAGACTTCTTTATCATGATACAAGGAACAAACAGATTTTCTTCCTTAATTCTCCAAACATTTAGTAAGCATGCCTTAGACTAAATCTCTTGTTATTTAGATAAGACATCCACTCTTTAGACCAAATGTCCTACAGTAGCTATGCCTTAGACCTTTAGGTCTTATGACTTTAACCTTGGAAAAGTAAGGATAGATTTGAACTCTCTGATCTTAAGCCAAGATGAAGCTAAGCCATTTTTATGGACCCTGACAAGATACCTTGAGACTGTGAAAATAACCTCCCCTTAACAAGGAGACAGCATTGTCAGTGACTCTTACCCATTGCCATATTTCTGTGGTAGTTTCTTGTTTTGTTTTATGGTGGTTTTTTTAGTTGTCTGCAGTGCTGGGGATGGAATCCAAGGCCTCAGCATGCCAGGCAGCTGTTCTACCACTGAGCCCACGTGTGGTGTCTTAGTAATGATTTCCAGTTTTCCTTCTTTTTGCATTGATTAATGGGAATTTTTCTGTAAAGAAGGTTTGTTCTCCCATTTTTTTGTTTATTCAGTCAAATGTAGCACTAAAATCACAGTGGCTTTCCATTCCTTCAGTTATAACCCTATATTTTGTTATTTATATTATTAAGATTGGGTTTGGGGGCATGCCACCATCTTTTTTCTCTGAATCCACACCCTTATGTTTTGTCATGGAAAGATATCTAAGACCACTGTGAGATATCCAAGCCCGTTATCATGTATTTTCCCTGCTCAGCTGTGGAACAGTCTTTATTTATTTATTTATTTTTTTTTTATTTAAAATGGAACTTAGGTGCTGGTCTAGTATTTTCAAGTATCAGAAACAAAGCTTTAGCTAGGTTGTGGTGCATTTCTTTAATCCCAGTCTGGTGAGGCAGAGGCAGGTGGATCTCTTGCATTCGAGTCCAGCCTGGTCTACAGACTGAGTTCTAGGACATTCAGGATTACTTAGAAAAACCCTATCTTAAAAAACAAAAAAAAGCTGGATGGTAGTGGTGCTCCAGCACTCGGGAGGCAGAGGCAGGCAGATCTCTGTGAGTTTGAGGCCAGCCTTGTCCACAGACTATGTTCCAGGACAGCCAGGGTTACACAAAGAAACTCTGTCTCAAACCTTGCCGCCCCCCCTCCCCCCAGGCAAAGTTTTTATATAGTTCATTTATAAAGTACTTTTAATATTCAGTATTGCCTTTCAGTGTGGTTTATTAAACATAATTTGTAGTCTGAAGTCTGCTTCAGAATGATGTAGTAGGATAAAGAAACAGGTGTCACAAGACTAAATGCACATTGCTGAATTTCTGCTTAGCTTTAGGTGCATGAGTGGTCATTGTAGTGTTCACTGAACTGTGTAAGTACTGTAAAAGTACAAGGACAGCTGTGTGCTGAGTGTGCACACCTGGCTATCAGCTTTATAAGTTCGAAATATTTTTCAGGTCATGTTATCTGCTTGACAGGTTGACTTATTTTTTTGGCTTTCTGCCTCACAGAATTTTTCTCATGATTACTAAATAAATGTTTTTTTTTTTTAATAAAAGAATGGCTGCATTCTAGGACACATTACTATCTTCAAATGTGCTTGTTAGCTCCTATGTCTACTGTCCTTTATTAGGGAGTACTTGTAATATATAGTGGGTTTAGTGTACTTAAGTTATAATATATATTATGCCCAGTGCACTTATATATGAGACAGTCCTGAATATGTACCTTATAGGAAGCCAGGTTGTTTTTTATTTCACCAGCTGACCTATTACTTACCATATCAACACTATTGTGTATGCTGGGTTTTGAATAGGCACCTAGTTGGTTTATTTTGAGGTCTTCTTTCCTTACCTCTGAGTTAATATCTTGTTTCTTTTGAAAATTCCCCACAGAGCTCGAATGACACCTTTCCCACAGCAATGCACATCGCCGCTGCGGTGGAAGTTCATGAGGTCTTGTTACCAGGACTACAGAAGTTGCATGATGCACTCAGTGCAAAATCCAAAGAGTTTGCACAGGTCATCAAAATTGGGCGAACCCACACGCAGGACGCTGTCCCACTTACTCTTGGGCAGGTACAAGAGTTTGACTCATTTTGTTCAGTTTAGGGATTGATACAAATTGTCTATGTTTTCCCTCAAAATTAAAAGGCCAACTTTTTAACAACAAAGATCAGGGTTGATCTTCTGAATTAACCAGTCAGCAACTTTTAATATTGTCCCCATGAGATGAGAGCATGCTGGCAGTGAACTGGACTCAGCTGAACTACTGGGTTCAAGTTTTGCTCTGCTGTAGACCAGTTACATGACTGTAGGACAGTTATTTAGCTTCTCTGTGCCTCAGTTTCCGGGGTAATAAAGTAAAGAGAATGCATAGTTGTGAGGCTGTAGTGATTGATTGACGGAAGAGTGTTTAGAACCGTCTTGGGTACATAGCCATCATCATCATCGTCACTGCATGGTCATGATTGTGTCATTTGTCTCACCCTAAATCAAGAGGTTATTTAATTAAAGCAGATTTTTAAAAGTAATTAAGGGAGGCTGGTGTTACCCTTTACAATGATTTTGACTGCATTGGAAGAGATACTACTTTTCGGGAGACCAGAAAGTACTTTTATGTTTCTGTACCAGTAGCTGAAGGGAGATCTAATAATGTGCATTGCAAAGAAACAAGAGGGAATTCTTGACAGTGTAGTGATATTTATGATTTATTAAACTTTGACTGAGTATTCAGAAAAGCAAAGTCAGCCACAAGCCATAGAAGCCAGGCACACACTTTTAATTCCAGCAGCCTGAAGTAGGAGGAGTCACTCACTACACTTAGTTCTTTACATAATTTCTAAGGAGGAGCAATATATGCAATTCAGTTTCTAAGTTTTACTTTCTTTTCTTTTGGTATGTTGTATGTTGAAAGCCACAATGCCAAAATTCAGTTAGTCTTCTGTAGGAAATCATCACACTATTCATCATGACAGGAATTCTATTTTTTTTTTTTTTTTTTTTTTTTTTTTTTTTTTTTTTTACTTTATGAGAACATGTATACTTGTTTTGATTGGAATTGTCTTTTGAGTTTTTGCAATTTTCAAAATCTATGCTCTAACTGTATACTGTTGATATGTATGTGTCACATGGGGGTAAGGGGAGAGAAGGGGAGACGGGAGATAAACAAGAAAAAGTTAATGTTTCATGAATTATATCTACCTTTGAAGTGTTTTGTTTAGAATGTAATCTCCTGTCTTAATTAGGAGTTCTATTGCTGTGAAGAAACATGGCAGCTCCAATAAAGGAAAACATTGAATAGGGTGGCTTACAGTTTCAGAGGTTTCGTCCATTATCCTCATGGTGGGACATGGTGATATGCAGGCAGACATGGTGCTTGAGCAGGAGCTGAGAGTGGAGAAGGAGCCACATCTTGATCCTAAGGCAACTGATCTGAAACACTGGACATAACTTGAGCATATGAGACCTCAAAGCCCGCCTCCACAGTGACACACTTCCTCCAACAAGGCCACACTTATTCTAAAGCCATACCTCTTAATAGTGCCACTCCCTATGAGCTTATGGGGGCCAGTTACATTCAAACTACCACAAACCCCACTAAAAATATTCAGTTTTTCAGTACTTTCAGGTGGGAGAAAAGATTTAGCTTATCTGTATATCTTAATTTACACAGATAAGCCCCATTATAAAATACAAAGGGTATAACATTTGTGTGTTTTTTTTTTTTTTTTTTTTTTTTTTTTTTTTTTTTTTTTTTTTTTTTTTTTTTGGCTTCTTCAAGACAGGGTTTCTCTATGTGGCTATGGAGCTTTTCCTGGCACTCACTCTGTAGACCAAGCTGGCCTCGAATTCACAGAGATCTGCCTGCCTCTGCCTCCTGAGTGCTGGGATTAAAGGCGTGCACCACCACTGCTCAGCAGGCATAAAGTTTTTATCTCTGCATAATTATTAATATTCACAATGCTCAAAACATGACAGATTGAGGTTGCTTTAAAGTGTTGTAGTGTGGAAAGCAGCGTGACATGGAAGCAGAATGACAGTGAACAGTGGAGCCATGAACCTGTGCCCTTATGGCCTCCTCAGGCCGCTGAAGGAGTTGTTTCACTCTCAGAGCCCTGTGAAGGAGGTGCTTGGGTTCCCTCTCAGGTCTTTCAGCTGAAATTGTATAGAAAACATTTCCATTTTCTTTTTTCTTTGGGGAATATTCAGATTGGGAAGGGGATCAGTTTATTGGGTGGATAGCAGGTAGAGCCGTTGTTTAATGTAGTGGAACTGTTCTTTTTTAAGTTTATTTCATGAGCTGTTTTCTTGACTATTAAAACGTTAAGTTATAAACAAACTAAACTGCATGTTTTTGACTTACATTGTCCTGCCTTGTAGATTTGTATCCCTTCCTCCTGTCTCTTAATTCATCATGTGAATGAATTAACACTGAGTAGCATATAATTTAATATTCTGAAGTGTATTCTAAAAGCTCCTATTTTAATGCCATCCTAGTAAGTGGTATACTGTTAGGAAGTTTGTTCTTACTGTGAATTTTCTTTTGCAGGAATTCAGTGGTTATGTTCAGCAAGTTCATTATGCAATGGCGAGAATAAAAGCCGCCATGCCAAGAATCTATGAGCTCGCTGCTGGAGGCACTGCTGTCGGGACAGGTTTAAACACCAGAATCGGCTTTGCAGAAAAGGTGGCTGCCAAAGTGGCTGCACTCACAGGTTGGGACTGCATGCATTACTGCTCATTTTCTTCATGCCAGCTTATACATTGTCTAGATGTTTCTAGGCTTAAAAAAATTTAGGAGTAACATGTTCCCATTAAACATGTGTCCATTTTTGAAATTAATCAAGTTCGTTGTAATTTATAAGACTTCCATGTAAGAGTTTTTAGGCATGCAATTATAATTTATGTGATAGCTTTGCTTGCTGTCTGGTAGAAGTCATTCCTTTCCTTTCAAAGGGTTTTAAGTACAGTTTTCAAAGAAAGTAGAAACAGTTGACTGTTGAGAAACCTACCAAATGATAACTGTGCTGTAAGCTTAGTATTTTGTATGTTACACTGTGATATTTCTTAGCCTTAACATCTTTAAAGTGTTGTCTTCGCTCTTGTACAGTACTATAATCTGAATAATAATTACTGTTATAGTTAGAGCCAGCTTGTCATGTCTAGAAAAATAATTAAGATACAGATATTACCAGAAGGTTAGGGCAGTGATAACTATATAATATGTACCACAGTCTAGTAGGTGAGTTTTTAAAATATTCATTTATTTTTTATTTACTTATTTACTTATTTATTCTGTCACCTATCCATCTATTTATTATTTGTTTTTTGCTTTTTGTTTGTTTGTTTTTTTTTTTGAGACTGGGTTTTTCTGTGTAATAGTTCTGACTGTCCTGGAATTTGCTTTGTAGACCAGGCTGGCCTCAGACTCACAGAGATCTATATCCCTGCCTCTGCCTCTGCCTCCTGAGTGCTGGGATTAAAGGCGTGTAAATTTTTAAAGTTTCATAAATGTATACAATGCATCTTGACCATATTTAGCTCCCATCTCCCAGCCCTCTCCAGATATGTCTCCCTTCCAACTTCAAGTTCCTACCTTCTCTCTCTCTCAGCATCTGTCCCCAAGTTCAATTTCTGCTTCCCTCATATACATGGGTATGGGGTTATCCACTAGGTTTTGGCAGCCTACTAGTAGCTATTCCCCAAAGAAAAGGAACCCTCCTTCCTCCAGCAGCCAGTATCTGGAGTATCTCCTCAGGTGGGGGTGGGATTCATGCAGGAACTTTTAACTGGCTTGACTTTGTGAGATACCCATAGCTGGTGTTGCTCACGTATTCAGGATCCTTGTTGTGTCCAAAGGACAGCATTTCACAGCACTTCTCCCCATCTCCCAGCTCTCCATTCTTCCTGCCTTTTCTTCTGGGATGTCTTTGAACCTTGGCTTGGGGTGATAGAGAAGTGCCTTCTGTGGCTGAGCACATGGTCGCTTATCCTCTAGCTGAGTTGTTTTAAAAATCACGTTTGAATAGAAAGGAACTGTGTTACACAGTTACACAGACTTCAGAATCTTTGTTTGTGGAATGGAAGCACTGAGACCACAGCTTATCTGTGTTCCTATTTTCTCAAGTAGAACAGACTGGAGTAGACAGAGATTTTTTTTAAGATTTATTTTATGTATATATGACGACTCTGTCTGCATGCACACCGTTACACCAGAAGAGGCCATCAGATCCCACTAGAGATGGTTGTGAACCACTGTGGTTGCTGAGAATTGAGCTCAGGTCCTCTGGAAGAGCAGCCTGTGCTCTTAACTGATCTCTCCAGCCCGTAGACAGAGATTTTAAGCAATAAGATCAGAGAGTGAATTTCACAGTTCTCATCCTTACTTGAGTGTAGTTTGGCCTTCTTCGAAGTGCTTGTTTAAAGAGTCATGTTAAGCCCTTTGGGATGTCTTAAAGCAGTGTTGACACAGCTTGACTCTTAAGCATTTTCCTCAAGTGAAGATTTGCATTTTTCATTTATTATTGGTTTCTAGATGGTTATAGTAGTGAAACTCAAGCTCGGCCAACACCATGCACATGCTAGGCAAGCACTGTCACTGAACTGTGCACACAGCCCTCCGTTCTAATTCGCTTTGTGAACACTGAACTTTGTTTAACTTACTTAGGTTGATGGCATGTTTACTCTTCCCTGCTTACCCTCAGAACCCTTTCCTTCCTGCAGGCTTGCCTTTTGTCACTGCCCCAAATAAGTTTGAAGCTCTGGCCGCTCACGATGCCCTGGTGGAGCTTAGTGGAGCCATGAACACCACTGCCTGCAGCCTGATGAAGATAGCAAATGATATCCGCTTCCTGGGTTCTGGTCCTCGGTCAGGTTTAGGAGAGCTGATCTTGCCTGAAAATGAACCAGGAAGCAGCATCATGCCAGGTAAGCACACAGCTGATTCTGGAGCTGGAATTGACTAGATCCCAGGGACCCGTAACCACAGAACATGCCTTTTCATTTACTGCCATCCCTGAAGTGATGGGGACAGGTGGGGAGCACTTGTTTCATGGTGTCCATGTGGATCATTGCAGAACTTTTGGGAGTGTCACTTACCAAGTCAGGAAAATGACATGAGTTAGTATCATGTTGAGGTTTTCATACTGGAACCTTCGTGATAGTTGTAAGAGAATGGCAGGGTAAAACAATTAGCCTAGGTTGAATAAATATGAGCCCCCCTACTAAAGTCCTTGTGTCATGATTTGCCTCAGATTAAAAGGAAGTGACAGTCACTAGAGTGTGGGACGTGAACATAGTTGGGCAAACCGACATTTAAGGGAGTGACTAATGAGTTGCCTTTCTTTGGAGAAATGTCTTGATACTGGGCTTTACTCATTTGGCATTTTACTGGTGACTTGGGATAGAGACGAGGAACACTTGCTAATCATTTAGTCAATAGCAAAGGTTGAGGTGGCAGTAGGTTGTAGAACAGAGTCAAGATTCACAAAGACTCTCTGGAGACCAGTTGAGCTGTACTAAAATGGACAAAGTGACTTTCAACAGTTTACTCTATAGAAAATGCTTTCACTAGACTTTTTTTTCTTTATGTTTTTTTTTTTTTTGGAGCCTATCCTGGCACTCGCTCTGGAGACCAGGCTGGCCTCGAACTCACAGAGATCTGCTTGCCTCTGCCTCCCGAGTGCTGGGATTAAAGGCATGCGTCACCAATGCCCGGCCTAGACTTTTAACTATATATGTGTACATAGACCAAAAGATCTCTATTTGCAGTAGTCTGTGTTGAAAATGACATGTAGATTTGGTTGGTTGCAAATTTAAATAATTGTTTGAAGGAGAAACGGAGCCAGGTGTGGTAATGCATGGGGTTAATCCTGGCACTAAGGAGGCTGAGGCAGGAAGGTTATGAGTTCAAGGCCAACCTGGGCTACAAACAGTATTTTCAGGCCTGACTGGGCAACTAAAGCCAAAACCTGTTTCCATAATAAAAAGCAAATAGAAGCGCATGTGTTCTCTCACGCGGGATAGAAGGGTCTAAGTGTGCATCTTGGGCTTGGGCTTATAAAGGAGGGTTGCTGAGCTAGAGCCCTGGCATCTCCCCCAGAGAAGCCTGCCCTTATTTATTAGCTTTGCTAACTCTTTTCTTGGCTGTCACCCTCTTGGAGGGGGGAGTCTATGGAAATTTAATTGTATATTTCATGCCTGGTTGCATAAATGTCTCCATAGGAGGAATGGAGTCTATGTCTTTTTAATTGTATATTTCATGCCTGGTTGCATAAATGTCTCCATAGGAGGAAAAAAAGCCATAAAGATGGAAAACCATATGTAGGTGCAGCTTATCATTAGTTCTCATTGAGTGATTTTCTGTGACTTTGCTTCCCTGTTTCTTTGATATTTTTGTATGTGTGTGATATTGGGGGTTAAACCTAAAGCTCCCTCATGTTAAGCAAGATTCTGTCCTTAAGATGTATCCCTAAAATTGTTTGTATGTTTTGAGTCAAGATCTCACTAAGTTGCCTAGTCTGGCCTTGCCTCAGGTAGTCCTTGAACTTGGAATCTTCCTGCCTTAGCCTCCTGAGTGACTAGAATTTCAGTCTGTGTCTCAACTTTGTTCCTTTTTATGTCTTTATTTAATAATGTTACATTTCTTTCTTTGGTATAAAAAACAGTTGTAAGTGATATGGGAAACCATGAGCCTATTTGATGAGATTCTGCACTGGTTTTCTCAAAGGAAAGGTGAACCCTACTCAATGTGAAGCAATGACGATGGTTGCAGCCCAAGTTATGGGGAATCATGTTGCTGTTACTGTTGGAGGCAGCAATGGACATTTTGAGTTGAACGTTTTTAAACCAATGATGGTAAGCTTTCAATTTGCTGTTTAGCAACTTTTTATTGAAGACTAATTGCCAGTGCTCTTGTCTTTCCTGAAGGTTTCTGAAGCGTCCACATTAGGTAGTTGTGTGGTGTCTGTAGCAACTGGAAGTCAAGTGTACCAAATTGTTACTGGGATAACTTGAGATACTAGGATTGGATCTCACTCAGTTCAAGTGATCTGATAGCTTTCTTTTTTAAGTAGAAGAAAGAAATCTGGAAGTAAGATGGGTTTTTTGTCTCCTCCCACTATGGGTGCCAAGAGTTAACAGTCAGTTTAGGTCTGCTCAGTTTAAAAAGACGCCTTCCTTACAGCCGTCCCTGCTCAGACTGCTGCTATGTGCCTTCTTCCTTCAGATGTGGATGGCAAAGACTGACACGTTGTCTCGTTCTTTTATGGTTTGATCACTGTGGTCCAGCCTCAGCCCTTTCACACTGCTTGCATTGTTCTCCATCGTCAGTGACCTTTTCCTTCCAGCGGACATGTTGACTGTCTCTCCATTCCTTCAGGACTTTCTCTGTCCTCAACAAGGCTTTCTTTAATTTCCTTCTGCCTTTTTCATGTACCTTAGAAACTGTCCACCAAACTTCTCCTTTTTCCTACATCATTCCAAATATGGAACAACCTGTGTCAACCTGTGTGCCCGTACCTGAGCTTCAGACAGCCAAGCTGTGTCACCTTTAAGTCCTTCATTTATACAGTGCTGAATATGAAATACACTAGAGACTATATCTTACTGGTTTGTGGTGTAAAATCTAATTGATAAGAATATGCAAATAGCTTAGTACATTGATTGAAGTTTCACTTTGGATCACAGAATTTTAGTTGTTCACAATAAAACAATCAACATAATGAGGGTTTTGGTTTTTGCCCTTACGACATGCATATTCTGTTGGGATTGGTAAATAAAAGACTGGCCAAAGTGACCTTTAGATCTATGTACTGTATACCCAACAGTTAATACTAGCTGCCTGACATATATAGAAGTGTAACAACTGTTTATTGTTAGATTTTAAATCATTATTATGTCTTAAAAGTAATGCCGTCTTATTCCTTTGTAAAAATCAAGGGAAGAAAACAGTTTGGTAGAGAGTCTTTCCATCTCATAGAGTAAAAACTACTATGTGAGCCTGAGAGACAGGGAAAACATTGGGGTGAGGGGTAGACCTAATTGAGGAAAAAAAAGTTTGACTTCAATTAGAAAATCAAGGTGATATTTAATTTATAATTAAGTCATTGGAATCAAATTAACCTTTAATGTCTAGCTTCTGTTAGTCCATTGGTGGAAGTATAGCTTTAGACAGAGGTATGTATATATGGGAAGTTTGCTCAAGAAACAGGTGTTAAGTACCAATTGGATTTATATGATCTTAAACTGTGGGTGATGTTACTTTAAAATGATCCTGGAATGTTTGTTCCATTAGGCATAAAATCAGAGAACCCCCCTCCCCCCCCCCCCCAAAAAAAAAAAAAAAAAAAAAACAGAGCAACATTTAGCAACTATCCCAGGCCTTTACGCCTCTGCACATCCTTCCCCTTCGTGGATGAGTGTTCATCCAGCTCTGGATGTCCACTTCTGTGTTTTGTAGGACTCCTCCTGGATTGTGGATACAACACCTCACCTGTTTTGCATGTTCACTGTGGGTTGTCTTGTGTTAGTTTCCACCATGGACTGTCTTTTATTAGTTACTCACTTTGGGCTGTCTTGAATTAGTTACCCACCATGGGCTGTCTTGCATTAGTTATCAGTTATTGGTTCCCTTGTGTTAGTTGTTTGATGTGGGCTCTTGTGTTAGTTATACATTGTGGGCTGTCTTGCATTAGTTATTCTCCTGTTGTCCATCATGAACTATCCTGTGTTAGTCACTCACTGTGGGCTATTTTGTGTTGGTTATTCACCATAGACTTTTCTATCATTTTTAGATTTGCAACTTTGTGTTTTCAGCGCCTTCCTTTCTCACTTGTCTTCTTGGGTATATACTGCAGGATTTGCAGGAGGGATACATGGTTATGGGATCACATATCCAACATGGAACATCAAATAATGCATGTTATTGCACAAAAGCAAACCAAAGTAAACTGGGGCTTAGAAATGATTCTCTTTCCGTCTTCCTCTGTGTTTCTCTGGCAGATTAAGAATGTGTTACACTCAGCCAGGCTGCTGGGGGATGCTTCAGTGTCCTTCACAGAAAACTGTGTGGTGGGGATCCAGGCCAACACAGAGAGGATCAACAAGCTAATGAATGAGTCTTTAATGTTGGTGACAGCTCTTAATCCCCATATAGGTAAGTTTGGAGGATAATGCCATTTTGAAAACAGCATTTAAAAGTGAAATTAAAAAAAAAAAACCTTAAATTAAAAAAAAAATTTGTGTGTGTGTGTGTGTGTGTGTGTGTGTGTGTGTGTGTGTGTGTGTATGTGTGTATGTGTATGTGTGTGTACATACATATATGGCATGGTGTATATGTGTGTGTCATGTTTTCTCTTTGTATTATGCTGGTCCCAGTTAGAAGTCTTGTCAACAAACACCTTTATCTGCCGAACCATTTTGTTGGTCTCCAAAATTTCAAGTGACTTGTTTTTTTGAACAGGGTTTCAGGTATATATATAGCTTTGGATGACTTTGAACTCTTATTTAAAAAATTAAATTAAAAAAAGAAAAACTTTTACATTTCTGTGTGTGTGTGTGTGTGTGTGTGTGTGTGTCTGTCTGTCTGTCTGTCTGTCTGTCTGTCTGTCTGTCTGTCTGTCTGTCCATCTGTGCCATGGGATACACGTAGGGGTCAGTGAAAGGCTTGCAGGAGTCAGTTTTCTCCTTCCATCATGTGCATCTGTGGGATAGAACTCAGAGGCTGCCTTGAAACACTAAGGTCTCACAGTAGCCCTTATTTCATGTTAATGGACTCAGATGCTGGGTGCTGCATGCAGTTGGAGAGGGTTATCTGGGAGACCCTCTGCTGGTAATGTCACTAGGTGGCACTGCCTGATTACCAATGGTGAATGGACTCATTTGGTTTTTCCTTTTCTAGGTACTATGTAATTCTTGGATTTTGTTTTGTCCAATTCAGATATGGAACGTTACTAATTAAGAGAAAGGCTAAATACTGAATGCTTTTTCTGAAATTATCCTTTGTGTTCCTCGTCTTTTCCAGATTGTAATTGCTTTTTTTTTTTATACAGACTTAGATTGCAGGCTGGGCACCACCACCCAGCCCATAAGGCATTTGCTCTGGTTTCTTCAGGTTGAGGCAGTCACTGTGTTACATTCCCTCGGCTGAGCAGATGACTTTGGACTGTTTTTAAATGAGTGATGGTGCCGTTATGTGGCATGATAGAGTTTCCACTTTAGAATGTTCTATAATCCTGAGCTTTTGGAGCAGCTTTTATGCATGGGTTTCTACTTTTATAAAGCTGTTTAAATGTTTTGACTGATTTAAAATTGTTACACACCAGTATTCACCTGGAAGGGTGCAGAGCAACCCCAAAGGCTCACGTGACAAACACTCCATCGGACACTTGTAGGTTAGAGACACTGTCTAAGCAGAATTACTGGGAAGCTTCCTTGGACAGATCCATCAAGGCAACATCTCTGGCAAGTGTGCCTCATGAGTGAGGCCTGGTCATGGGCTCTCTCAGTGGTCCCGTGATACAAGAAGCTGGTGGCTGATGGTGTTTTGTGTTTGTGAGCAGGGATGCTTATGCTTTCGTCCTCGTTCACATAAAAAGTACCTAAGACAGCTGGACCCAAGAATTTAGTGTGAACATCTGGTTACTCCATGCCAGCTCAGTGAACGTTCATAGATTCAGCTAAGAATGAAGTCATGCAAGCCCATTTTGGTTACATCCAGACATGTACCACTTTACCACCTGGTTATCTTATTGCCCCAGCAGGCTCCACCCCTTTGGTCATAGTTCTTGAACTTTTAAGTTTCATTTTTGTATTCTCTCATTGCTTTTGCCTTCTTTCTTTTTAAAACTATCAATTTTTAAGGTCAAAACAACATTGAGAACTTCCCAGTGTTAGTCTTCATTTAAAAAGCAGATGACTCTGAAGTAAACCAATGCCTATGATGTTTCCTTTTGTTTTGTTTTTGAGACAGGCTTGTTGAGTAGCCCAGGCTGAGACTCACGGTCATCTCCTGGATGCTAGTATTTCAGTGCATTGGGTTGCCTGGGTTCCTTTTTCCAAATACATATCTCTACTAAAACTTTCCCTTTTTATCCTTGTAATATCTAAGCAGACGCCAGGGAATGGTACCCTGTTCCTGCCTCAACAAGGACTGCCAGCTCTCCCTCCATAGGCAGTTTCAGTGGCTGCCTGTTAAACATCTGTCTGCTCTGCAAGCCTGCCACAGTTAAATGTTAGTGCTGCCTTAGAAAGATAATTAGGGCCAGATATGGTGGCACACGTCTTTAATCCCAGCACTCAGAAGATAGGGACAGGCAATCTCTGATTTTGAGCCCGGCCTGGTTACAAAGCCAATTCCAGGATAGCCACAGCTGCACAGAGAAATCCTGTCTGGGGGTTGGGGAGAGTAACTGTGGGACAACAAACCCAAATGTGAATTTTTATACCATGGTACTTTATTTTCAATTTTTTATGCTCTCTTTTCATTATTGGTCCACTTCAACATAGGAACAAGTCTTGCATAAAATGAGGTATGCTTAAGTCTATTTCCTAGGGTAATCAAGGTCAGATTCTATAGAAGACATGACAGTGATTGGCTTTAGTTTTAAAATAGAATGTGTCATTTCAGAGAGCCGTAACATCAGTATCAGTAAACAGTGTGGTTGCCTGTTGTTTTAGAAAATTTCACTACTAATGTGTGTGTTGTGTGTCTTCTCTGCAGGGTATGACAAAGCAGCGAAGATTGCCAAGACAGCACACAAGAAAGGATCAACCTTAAAGGAAACGGCTATTGAACTTGGCTATCTCACTGCAGAGCAGTTTGATGAGTGGGTGAAGCCCAAGGATATGCTGGGTCCAAAGTGACTTAAATAAATTTATATTAAAATAAACTTGTATGAAATTTAAAAAACAAGGCTCTGCTTTTAGATAAAAATGAGAACTCAAAAAAGGAAACTCTGTGGACTTGAACTGACCATTTGCATGATGCTCCAGGGCCACAGTAAACTAAATAAGTGCAAAATGATTTCTTAAAATAAAGAAGAAAACAAAATAATTTTTATTTTATGCTAAATAACAGATAATCAAAGCTCTGATATCTGTGCATATGTGTTGGTCACTTCATGAACTTTTTAAAAGCGCCCCATCAGTTTTTAAGGTTTTGGTTTATGGCTGGTAGTATTTTAATGAAGTTCCCTGAGAGTAAAAAGTACTTGTTATTGATTCACAAATCATGTCTCCAACCAGCTTGAATTTTCCTGGGCTCTCAGAGCTTAAGCTGGCCAAACCCTTTTGTGTAAGGATATGTATATGTATATGTGTAGTGTGTGTGTGTGTGTGTGTGTGTGTGTGTGTGTGTGTGTGTGTGTGTGTGTGTGTGTTAGTGTCAGGAAATAGGATCAATTGAAACCTGGGACATATACATGCTATAGTACAGATAGTTATAAAGACTGGTATGTTTGGGCCAAGAATCCTTTAATATTTGTTGTTGGGAAAGTAATTATACCACCAATTCTTCCGTGTCAGTTTAAAGTCATTGTCTATATAGAAGCAAAAAGTAACTAAAACTACTAGAAATGTTATGGAAGATGAATTTTTATTATTTACTTCTCTGGTGGTGCTGGAGGTGGAATCCAGGTCCTCACACATGCTGGGCACTCCACTGTTGAGTTCTAGCCCTAGTCTTCTTTTTACGTTTTTCACACTTGCCCTCATGAAGTTACCCAGTTTCCTTGAACTGTCTGTGTAGTCCTGGCAGGTGTTGTCCTTGCAAACCTCCTTTCTTGGCCTCCTACTCTAGGATTATAGGACAGACCTCAGCTTGCTGAATTCTAATTTGTTAACGCTTGAATGGACATTACATGTTTTCTTTATTTTTATGTGTCTGGGTGTTTTCCCTGCATGTATGTCTGTGCATCGTGTGCATGCTTCCTGCCCTAGAGGCCAGAAGAGGCCAGATTCTCTGGGACTGGAGTTACTGATGTTGTGAGCCACCGTGTAGTGCTGGGAAATTGAGCCCAGGTTGTCTGCAAAAGCAGCCAGTGCTTTTTATTTTTCCAACTTTAGGCAGTTTTAGTATAAAGAGCTTCAGATTTTTTCTTATATAACTCCCAAAAAGTAAGGATGTACTTACTTGTTTGTGTGTGTGTGTGTGTGCGCGTGCATGCGCACGTGCTCTGTGTTCTTTCTTAATGTGGGGGATTGACCCTGGGACATCAAGCATGCTAGGCAGGCTTTACCGCTGAGATACTTTCTTACCTATAGTGCTATCTTTGCCTGTGATAGTAAGATGTTGATACTATAATACTTGTACAGCTTGCTTCTAAGAAGGGTTTTGAAATTAATAAAAATCAATTACATTGTATAGCAACAACAAACAAACTTGCAAATAACTGGTAGTTGTGACAATTGATCTTTAGTTGTGACATCCGTATTTGCTTGGATGTTGATGTCTACCTTGGCAGGCTGTCACTTGAGGGCTTGTCTAGAGACAACTATTTAGGTAATATAGATAATAGCACATCAGGTTCCCAGCTTCTCAAATAGCATTTGTATGACTGACTCAGCCCAGCGTATGACAGGCCAAAGAATCCTTTGAATTGACAATCATTTCTGATGGTGCTGAAGCAAAATAGTACAGGATGATGTCATGGGAAGAAGGCTTAGAATTCTCTGTTGGATCCTTGAATTGAAGGTTAACTTCATGTTTCCACTGGGAAACTTGTCTGCTGGAGGCATCTAGCAAAGTCTACACAGACATTTAGGTGTCACAGCTGTGGAAGGAATTTTAACTCGTTGAAGCCAAAGAGATTGCCAAACACAATGCACAGGAGAGCCCCCTCCAAGGGCATTTTCCAGCCCTACGACCATTCAGCTAGGTTTCACTTCCCTGCTCCACTCCATGGTGCTAATAGGAAAGATTCTCTTCCCAGTAAAGATAGGCAGGTGGGGAGTGGTGGCTCCTGCCTTCAATCACAGCAAGACTGTCAGATGTATGAGGAATTTTGGGTTAAGAGGCTATAGAAAGGAAATCTTTGTGTTGCTGGGACAATGGATGCTGGTTAGCCAGAACTGAAGAGTCAGCTGTGATTAGTAAGAGGCCAGCATCACGGAGGAGAAGTCTCCTGGGGAATATTTCCTGAGTCAGCAGAAAGTAGTTGTACTCCTGAGGGGCCCTAGGCCACAACTCAGTCTGGCAGCTAAATTTGGAAAATAAGGAATAAAAGTCCCCCACATAGTATTGGTTTGGGTGTTACATAAGCAGGATTTTAAGGTCCATTGAAAGAAACTGAGGCTTGGCACCATGTGGCAGGAGTAAACTCCAGCAGAGAAGCCTGGAAGACATTGGTGAGGGTGCAGGCTCAGTTGCCGTGGAGAACCCAGCATATTGGAGATGCCAGGACCATGGGATGACCAACAAGGACAGTGGCAGGTGTCAAGTGGAGTCAGCCTGTGCCTATCAGACAAGCTGTATATACTTTGAATGACAGAACTAAAGAGGTGTCTACACAAACCCTTTGGAGACAAGGAGATCTCCAGTGGGTTCCATATATTCATTTGTTAAATGGACACTTAGGCAGGTTACAATTTTTTAGTTATCGTGAATAGTATAATGATAAACATGCCTATGAAATATCTCTGTGGTATATTGATATGTTGATTCCAAGTCCTTTGGGTATATAACCAGGAAAGGTATGGCTAGATCACATGGTAGGATTTTGTGTATTTGGGTTTTTTTTGTTTTGTTTTGTTTTGTTTTTTCTGAGGATGCTCCACACTGACTTCCATAGTGAATGCGCCAATTTCTACCAATGTGTAAGCATTCCTCTTTGTCCACATCCTTGCTGGAATTTGTTGTCATTTGTTTTCTGGATTATATCTATTCTGACTGAGGTGAGGTGGAATCTCACAGCAGATTGATTTCTTTCATGTTTCTCTGTCACGTGTGTGTGTGTGTGTGTGTGTGTGTGTGTGTGTGTGTGTGAATGTCATGTGTGTGTGTGTGTCCACATACTATGTGGAATAGAGGACAACTCACAAAAGTCAATTCTCTCTTTCTATCATCTGGATCCTGGGATTGAACTCAGAGTCTCGAGTTCATTGAGTTCATTGAGCCTTGGCAGCAAGCACCTTTGTCTACTGAACTTCACTTGTGCTAAAAGTAGTTTTACTTTTAATTTTCCTCATAGGGTGTTGAATATTTTTCAAATATTGCACGACTGTGTTTCTTCTATTGAGAACTATTTATTCTGTTTACTAGCCCATTAGCGCATTTATTGACTAAATGATTTAAGATACTTTGTGTTTAATTTGTGGAGTTCTTACATATTCTAGATATTAATGTCCTGTTTAATGTACAATCAGCAAATAATTATCCCTTCTTGTAGCTTGTCTCTTTATGTTGGTGATTGTTTCATTTTAATTTCGTTAGTCCCATTGGTTAATTCTTGAGGTGATTTCTTATCCTATTGAAGTCATTTTTAGAAAGGTTTTTATTGTGCCTGTGTCTTGAAATACTTACCTATGTCATCCTCTCCCAGTTTCAAATTTTCATGTCTTACACTGATGTCTTTGAGCTGACTCCAGGTCAATGGAATGAGTCCAGTTTTACTCTTCTACATGTGGGTATGAAGATTTCCCAGCATCATTGGTTAAAGAGGCTGTCTCTTCCCCAGTTTATGTTTTTGACACGTGATGGTTAACATGATAGTACAGTGTGGAATCACTTAGAAGTAACTCATACTTGTGAAGGAGTTTCTAGCTTGGCTGATGGGGGTGGGAGTTTGGGTCACAACAATGAGAAAAGTAACTAATATGGGGATATTTGTGGGAGGAAAACAAGGGCAACTGACTGATGTGGGGAAATGCAGCATAAATGATCTGTAGAAGCGAAAGCAAACTGAGGCTCTCCACAGGACAGGTGATGACAAACTGAGGCTCTCCACAGGACAGGCGATGACAAAATGGCAGCATCAGCTTGCTCTAAGAGGACACTGTTGGATTCTCTGATGTCGTTTTGTGCAAGTCCCAGTGAAGGGCTGGCACATTCAACTGGTTTGAGCTGCCTCTGTGTTCCTAGAAACAACGTACATAACCATTACTATTACAGTTTGTATCTGAACTACCCATCGGACTCATGTCTTGATCCCCAGTTGGTAGTGCTGCTTTGAGAGTCTGTGGAACCTTTAGGAAGCAGGCCAGACTAGCAGAATTGGGTCACTAGACAGAACACTGAAGATTAGACCTGACCCCTGGATCGTGCCTTACTCTCTCTGCTTCCTGGACTGTTGGGGCAGGAAGCATTCTACTCTACCACCATGCTTTCCCAACATAAGCTAAACCTCTGAGACCATGAGGTAAAATGAGTTATCCTCCTTCTAAGTCGTTCCATTGGGTATCTTGTGATCAGGATGTGATGGTAACTAATATAATTAGTGTTCTTTAGAGGTGTTATCTATAGCAAATCTAATGGGGGCACATGCTAGCACATGCTCTCTAAAGTCAAAGCAAATAACCATGGGCAGTGGAAGGGAGGCAGTCTTCTCAGGATCATTTCATCCACAGGACAGCTGAACTTTTGCTGGTACTTATCATCATTCCTAATTAACATGCGTGGTATTTACCAGCTGCCTTGTGGCTTGAAGCTGATGCCATTTTGTAAGCCTTGGGGCCCATGCCAATGCTGTTTTCTGGGACGGCACCCTCTGTTGTCTTTAAATAAATGTTATTTCCTTTATTCTTGACTAGATCCATTTCTGGCTTACAGTCACGAAGGTTAGAACACAGTAACGGGATATCCTTTTATTACATATATCCATGTGTGGCATTTTGCTTCCTGGCAGTTACTTTAGAAAAGGAATACATATATTAGACAGGAAAGCCAGAGTGGAAAACCAAGGTGTTGTGTCTCAG